TAACTGTTTCTTTAAAGACTCAAGCATTGCTGCTACTCAGCGAAAAAGAAAACCACCTGGGTCTGACGACGAAAGTCCGAAGAAACGCTCTAAGGATGAAACTGGGCCTCCCACATGGGTCCTTAAAATGGCAAAACGTGGAAAACAAGGTGAGGTTAAGCCTTCCTCAGCTGTCTCTGCAGCTTCTGAAAGTTCTGAGTCTGATGACATTGCCGCTCAGGTACAAGAAATTGATAAAATTGTAAATTCTGGATCTAATAAAATAATAAGAGCTTATTTGGATAGTGGTGCTTTCGCTCCTATGAGTCCTGAGATCACATGTTTTCATAATTATAAACCTATTCACAATGAGCCGATAGAATGTGCTGGCGACCAGGTGCTTTACACTCAGGGAGTGGGTACATTAAAACTAAATAACAACATAAAAGGATTACAAGAAATACATAACATGACTTACGTTCCTGGTTTAACACGTACTCTTTTATCAGTGAGCTCTATCACTAAGAATGGATTGGTCGTGATCTTTAAAGAAAATAATTGTGGGATCTTCAAACACGATTCCGTAAAAATCCTAAACAAACCAATCATTGAAACTACTGAATCTAACGGCACATATTGCTTGGATCTTGATGTAAAGGTTAATAACAAGGCACTTAAAATGGCACAAACATCACAAGCAATTCTATGGCATAAAAGATTGGCTCATATGTCAGATGAGTACATGAACAATATGAGTAAAGGATTAGTAAATGGAATGGTTGACATTAACATAATGGATCTAACCCTGTGTGAAGTATGCCAAAAGGCAAAGTCAAAAATAACCCCATTCCCTAAAGATGGTGCACACAGGAAAGTCCATATTTTGGATTTAATTCACACTGATGTGTGCGAAATAACTGACACCTTATCTATTGATGGGCATCGGTATTTCGTCACATTCATTGATGATAAAACCAGATACACTATGGTAGGAATCTTAAAAACTAAAGATGAAGTACTTGAAAAATTTAAAGAATACAGAACTCTTGTGCAAAATCAGACGGGAAAAACCATAAAAGCCATTAGATCAGACAATGGAAAAGAGTATCTGAATAAAGCCTTTTATGACTTCCTGAAAGCAGAAGGAATCATGAGTCAACATTCTACTCCGTACTGTCCACAGCAGAATGGAGTCTCTGAAAGGGCAAACCGAACCCTCCAAGAAAAGATGAGAGCCATGCTCAAAACATCTGGTTTAAGCTTGCAGTATTGGCCTGAGGCATTGCAAACTGCAGTCTTTCTAAAGAATATTTCTCCAACCAAGGCTCTCACAGACATGGTCCCCTATGAGGCCTGGACTGGAGAAAAGCCTGACATTTCTCATTTGAGGGTGTTTGGGTGCTGTGCTTACGCCAATATCCGAAAGGAAAAGGCCAAAAAGCTGGGAGACAGAAGTCGAACCTGCATCTTTGTAGGATATGACCATGAGCGAAAAGCTTATCGACTTCTGGATCCTACAGAGCCACGTAAAATATTCCCAGAGAGAAGTGTGGTATTTGATGAAAATAAATTCCCTGCACTTGACAGGGGGGTGGAGATACCACCTCAAAACAATCAGGAAAAAGATCTAAAATTACCTGACAAATACCCACTCCTACCTCTAAACAAGGATTCTGGCTCTGCAGCAACTCCATCCACCAGTGGAATGAGCACTCCGGCTGCCTCATTCCCTGATAACACAGTTAATACTGAAACTATTAACACACCCTCCACACCTGAAATATCAATTGAGGATTCAACCCCTAATTTCTGGGATGACCGTATTCCAGAAGATCCTTCTGCTAGTGATATGACACACATGTCCAACACCACTGAAGGACATGATGAGGACAATCTCGTTCTGATTGATAACCACATACGGTCAATCACAACTACAGAGGATCTTCAGGGTATTGGAAAAAGGGTCCGTAAACCTAAACAATTCCCAGACTACATAGTTTACGGTTTGGGCAAGGACACGACTCCTCACATGGCATGTCTGGTGACTCCTACTGACCCTGATGTTCCAAACTCTGTGCAAGATGTTCTTCAATCCCCTGAACAAACCTTCTGGGTTCAGGCGATGGAGGAGGAATTGACATCTTTTACCACTAACAATGTCTGGACTCTAGAGCATCTGCCTGCAGGTGCAAAGGTCATTGGCAACAAATGGGTATTCAAAAAGAAAATCAATACAGACGGGACAGTTCTGTTCCGGGCCCGATTGGTGGCAAAAGGTTTCTCACAAACCTATGGTTTAGATTACCACGAGACCTTTGCACCTGTGGTAAAGGGAACAACCCTCAGGCTGCTTCTTACTACAGCTGTAAATTTTGACCTGCAGATAAGCCACATAGATATCAAGACAGCTTTTCTCTATGGGGATTTAGAGGAAACTGTCTATATGCAACAACCTGAAGGTTTTGAGGCTGAGGGTCAGGCAGAAAAAGTCTGTAGGCTCAATAAAGCAGTATACGGTTTAAAACAAGCTGCAAGAAGTTGGAACAACAAGGCAGACAAAGTTTTAAAACAAATTGGGTACAGAAATCTTCGTGATGAGCCATGTATCTATATAAAGGAAACCAAGTCATCAATTATAATAGTGGCTCTATATGTTGATGACTTTTATGTTTTCTTTAATAATGAAAAAGACAAGTCCGACCTTGTACAATTCTTGCAAAAACATTTTGTGGTGAAAGACCTTGGTGAGGCCAAATCATGTCTGGGCATGAAAATTGAACGAGACATAAAACAAGGGTGTCTCACACTTCATCATGAACAATACATAAATGAAACATTGAAAGAATTCAGAATGACTGATTGCACACCAAAAGATACCCCTATGGAGACAAAACTCAAACCACATACATTAATGCAAGGCAAGCAGACCCGAGGGGTGGGCGACTTGAATTTTTCGTGTACACAGGAGTACGGAGTACACGGAGTACAGTCGGAGAACACTGAGTATTGCCGGTCGGAGCGCGCAGAGTACACCTGGAGTACACCCGGAGTACACCGGAGTACAGTCGGAGTACGCGGAGAACTTGCGACAAAAACAGCCGGAGTACGCGGAGTACAATCGGAGAACACCTGGAGTACATTTTGGCCGGTACACAGGAGCCGCCCAGTCGTCCACCCCTCGAGCAGACCACAGCCCCATACCAACAACTGATTGGTAGATTAATATATCTGAGTATTACAACAAGACCTGACATAGCTTTTGCTGCAAGCTTCTTAAGTCAGTACAACAAAAACCACACAGAGGCCCATTGGAATTTAGCCAAGAGGGTGCTCAGATATTTAAAGAAAACTGCAACGCGTGGTCTGACTTACACCAAGTCCAAAAACCCAACATTCTGCTTAGTGGGTTATGCAGACGCAGATTTTGCTGAAAACTCCATCGACTATAGATCATTCAGTGGGTATTGCTTCTCGTTTGATGGCAACCTCATTTCCTGGGAGAGCAGAAAACAAAAATTGGTCGCCCAATCTTCTACTGAATCAGAATACATTGCTATATCTGAGGCAGTAAAAGAAGCAATATACCTGAATGAATTAGTAAGTGAAATTTTTCACTGCGGTCCACAAAGGATCACTGCATTCAATGACAACATGAGTGCTATAAGGCTGGCATATTCAGAAAAATATAGTGCTCGAACAAAACACTTTGGTGTTCGTATCCAGCTGGTAAGGGATGGTATTGACGATGGCTCTTTACTATTAGAGCACATGTCAACCTCCTTAATGCCAGCTGATATGCTCACAAAAGCACTAGGAAAAGACAGTCATGAAAGATGCTGTAAAACTCTTAAAATAAGATGCTCAGATTGAGAGGGAGTGTTAGATATATGTACACTCTGTTTACATCTTATTCCCATAGACACAGTCTGAGTCTGTCTTTAACCAGTCGTCTGCTGTCTTCTCAACCAATCAGGATCGTCGTTAGTCGATTGTCTCATGAGTGCAAATAATGTCCCTTGTCGTCGTCTTCACGGAAATAAAGATCCTCACTTCCGTTCCGGAAACCACTGTGTCACTACGTTTATTTACTGTGTACTACCTTATCATTATCCAAGTTCATCAGCTAAACTTAGCTAT